TCCTAAGAGCACCACCTTCAAGAACCTACCTGAGAAAGAACCCCATCTCAGCCTCTCTTCTAGGAAACTGGAATTAAGACACCCGGTTAGTCAGCGGCAGAGCTGGGATTCATATCTACGAAGGCCTGACTCATACGACTACGTGGCTAAATGATGGCTTCCATGTTATCAGGCCACCAAGAAATCCCATCGAAATCACATCCCAAGAAATCACATAGGTATAACTATGGCAGCAAGGTTCCAGGATATGTTTAGCTGCTAAATAAAAGGTTAGAGGTTCAAGTCCTCCCAGGCACCTTGGAACAAATGCTTATATTCACTTATAAAAACCCTGCCACTGAAAACCTTAGAGAGCAGAGTTCTACTCTGACACACAAGGGGGTCTCTTCACCACGAGCGGGAATATACTTGACGGCAACTAGAGATGACAGCAACTGATGTTGTTGACACTTACGGCTGAATTCACCACGACTCACAGCGACCCTCTGGACAGCTAGACAACTTGCCCTATCCTGCGCCCCCAGAATGATCCCGCCATGCTCCGTTGTCAGGCGCTGTATCGATCCATCTGTTGACAGGCATCTTCTCTTCTGCTGACTCTACTTTTCCCAGCCTGATGTCTTTTTCTAAGGACTGCTGCCTCCTGGCAGTCCGCCACTATTTACTGAGTGCCACCAGCAGGGCAGTCTCTTTACTGCATCCAGTTCTTGCAACAACACTGTGAAGTTCAACTTATTATACCTATTTTGCATCTGCAGCATGGGATGCTTGTCATTGTTAGGTGCTCCCACTCATAGCAACTTTATGTCTAACACAATGAAACAGTGCCCAAGCCTATGCCGTCCTCACAATGGCTGATGCAAACTGCATGGAAAGAGATTGCCCATCTTTCTCCTGAGGAGTCGCTGGTGGATTCAAAGATCCAGAGAGAGGCCACCTCTGGGTTACGTGCGCACCAAAGTCACACAGATAGGAAACAGTGGAGCTTAGACTTCTACCCAGGTCTGTGTTTTTCTAAAGGCCACACTCTTTTCCAGCAATTTAAGCTACTTGCTAAGTAAATTCGTTAGTGACCAGCTGGTGGGATGAGTTCTTCATCAAGGATGTTCTCCTAGCAGTTAGACACAAGACTCTCCCTCTCCCCATCCTCCTCAAGCTCTTTTTGGACTACATTTAACCAATAATCTTTGCTTTCAGTGGAAATTCAGGCTACTTGGGAATTACTAGCGAATATTTCCTGTAGTTAGACATATAAAAAGAGCCAAAGGCCATATCCAGTGAAGAGAGAAGGAGAAACTGCTTAGATGTCAGATTCAGAGATCTGAATCACAATTCTCCTGGCTCCTCCATCTGCTGTTGTTTTGTTCACTGCTGTCAAATCAGAACCAACTCACACCTGACCCTCCAGTGAGTTGTCAGAGGCATAAATCACACATGAGGAGATAACACATCTTTCTCCTACAGAGCAGCTGGTGGATTTGAACTGCATGCCTTTGGGTTGGCAGTGCAGCTTCTTAACCTCTAGGCCACCAGAGCTTCAACTGACTCTTCTACAAAGGGGGACAAAATGTAACAAAAGAAAATCAGTCTAGCTTTAAAGAGGTGGTGGTGGTTGTTAGGTTCCATCGCGTCAAGTACTACTTATAGCATCCATATGAACAAGAGAGCTGGGCCATGTTCTATCCTGTGCCATCCTCACAATTTCTAACACCCTACAGCCCACTGGAGCAGTCGCTTCAACAATCTATTTTGTTGAGGGTCTTCCTCTCTTTCTCTGACCCTCCACCTTCAAGCATGATATCCCTCTCCAAGGTTTAAATCAAAAAGAGCCTGACTTTGGGGTATTACCTGGTTTAAATAGGAGGCCCAAGCCAGCAAATGGCTTATCAATCAAATAAAGTCCCACTTTAAAGAGAGTGAGCATCAAATCCTAATCAACTACTTGGGTAATACTTAGGCAAATCAATCTCTGTGCTCCAAAAAAATTTGTTGTCCTCCTATATAAGAAGAATACCTATCTTATTCAGTTGTACACAAGAGAATGGATGTGGAGAAAATGTTTCCCCCTCCTAGTCTCTTCCATTTCTGTCAATCTTAGAGAGACCAACATGTGCCCTCCATTCTAGATCTAAAATAATACTAGTCCTGATGGATTATGTATTTCCCCTTCCCAAGCAAACTGCATAGCCTCTTTGATGTTAAAAGGTTTCCATTTAAAATAAAGAGCCAATAAAAGGGGGGAACCTTCCGCCAGGAGAACATCAAATGATTCATAAAAATGAATCAGATTGAGTCATCCAAGTTCCCAAGGCCGAAACTTGAAATCAATGAGCATCCTTGGCCAGGCAATTCCAGGCCAGTGGAGGAGGTGGGCCCAGCAGGCCGTCTTCACAAGCCTCCTCCAATCCTCTCCTTGCAAACCCAACTAACTCTGCTTCCAGCCTGGCAAAATGAAAATCAATGTGGGCCCTTTGAAATACTGTATTCCAAATGCCACCTCCACCCTCATGTCGGCTCCCTGAGCAAGGGGGGTGGGGGAGGCTGCGGGGAGAGAGGTGTAGGTGTGTGTAGGGGTGTGTGTGTGTGTGTGTGTGTGTACACTGAAGAACGAGCTTGTGTGTCTAGCATTGAAAATCAATCTCCTCGTCTCCATCCTGACATTTATGATTTCAAAATGCCTTAGTTACAATCAGCATTTATGTAGTTAGCATCAAGTGAGAGAACACAGGCCAATCTACAACGCTACAATGCAGGGAACACTGTTTTCCTTTCAAAAGTGCTAACAACATTTTCCCTCTCCAATAGATACTTTGGCACCGGTATGCTATGTATGACTCAATCCTGTTTGGATGTAAGATTATGTACAGAGAGATACAGAGAGAGTGCTAGAGAGAGCAGAGCCAGCGAGCAAGCTTAAGGAATTAGACTATCAATACACGGCTTTGATTTTACAAGACAGAGGGTCTCCCACCAGCACATAAAGAAAAACTATAATTCAACATCCCTCCCTCAGTCCAGTCATTCAGAAACCTATTAGAGACACAGCGTGTGCTGGGTATTGGTGATTTATCAATGAAAGTTACATTCCTTGGCTATCAACCAGCTCAGTTCAGCAAGCTCAATTCAGAACTTGTTTAAGAGTCTCCAGGTTGCAGAAGCCTTTTCTCTTCACCAGAGTCCCAGAAAGAGGCCTGGGAGTCAGGTTAGAGTCCAGTCTGGTGCCTGGCCATACAGAGGAAGTGCTCTCTCACCCCAGATCTGTGTCCTTCTTCCCACTTGCCACCTTCCAATCTCCCTAGTGAATCCTGCATCTGTTCTCTAAGTAACAAAGGGAGTAGAATCAACTGTGCTTTTTTTCTTGCCTCTCAGATGGGGCTCCATTGTTGGTTTCAGGTCCTAAGTTCTGGCAGCTGGTCTACAGTATGTGGCAGGTGATTTATTTAAGGGGTGTCAGGAACAGCACTGCCCTGGCTTCCCCTTGAAGGGGGCACCACTGAGCACCACTGAGTCTCTATTACCCTGGCTTCCTTCAACACCTTCCTCAAGCATAACTGAAGTTGGGGTGGGGGGTGGCCTGCAGTGTGGGGACACTTGATCCCAGGTGCAAATCCGAAGGGGCTCCGGAGAAGGGTCTCAAATACGAAAACTACCTGATTTCAGGCAAGATTCTCTGGTGGAGCTGTGGTTAAAGCATTCGGCTGCTAACCAAAGGGTCCCTAATTGTGACAGAAAACATTTTTACAGTTTTGAAAACCCTAAGAGGCAGTGCTCTCAACACATCACTTTGAGCAGACAGGTTTGTTTACTTTTTTTGGAGGGGAGGAAGAAGGGAAGAGAAGGTGCCTAGGCTAAAGCATCGATGTGATTCATCTTGAAATTGGTACAGGTTGGCACAATTTACAGATTGCTCCAGGGGGCTCTGGAATTGGGAGGTGTGCAATTTAGATACTGCCTTGGGTGCTGGAACTGGGAGGCTATCTAGAAATTGCCTCAGGGCTAGGTATGGAGGTGGAGCAATTTAGAGGTTGCTGGCTCGTTCCCAGGGTTTCTGTTAAACATCCCCCACCGCACTCCCCGCCCCCCGCACGGGGTAACTGCTGCTACAGGTCCAGCAAGCAGAGTGGCTGGGGGAGGTGCCCCAGGTAGCCGGGGTGGGGGTGGGGTGGGGCTCGGGAGTGGGGAAAGGGCTCTTCAGCTCCTGCCAGGCCAGCAGAAGTCCTAAAGGATTTGATCGCCATCCCCCACCTCTTCCTAGAAATACAGAAGACGCTAGCCGGGGGAGAGGAAAGAGTTAAGAGAAGGCCTTCGATTTACCTCCCCAGCAACCAAACTTCAGTCTCCCAGATCCCTCAAGTACCACACCACGACAAGGGACGAGTCCAGGAAGGGGTGGCATGCCTCTCCACAGCCCCAGAACTCCAGTTCAAAGACTCCAGATACCAAGTCCGCGCTACACCACTGCGCGAAGGCTGGCTGATTTTGGCCAGAGGATCGGCCGTCTCTGAGTCCCCGGTTTGCTCACTTGTAACAGGGAACAGCGATGGTACTTAACTCTCCCGGGTTCTGGGAAGTATTAAATAACCTCGCATGCGTGAAACTCTAAAGATAACGGATGGCACGCCGAAAGTCGGCAGTTATTATTTTACAACATCATCAGAGCTCAATGCTAGCAGCTGGGCTGTCCCACCCGACGGAGGACTCCTGCAGAGCAGTCGAGGCGGGGCGCCTCCGTCTCCATCCACTCCCCACCCCCAAGCGCTCACGGTCTCCTCGAGTCACCCCAGCGTCCGGCGTGGAGAGCAGGAGGCCGGTTCTCAGCATCCTCCTCCGCCGGAGGAGGACTGCAGGGGGGCTCCGAGACTCGGTGAGGACGCAAATCCCGGGTTCCGGGTCGCGGGCGCCCGCGGGCGGCTCTGCTACCCCAGGCGGTGTTGCCTCTCCTCCCCACCTCTCCTCCCAAACAGAGCGCACAGAGAGCGAGAAAGGAGCGGATACTGGACCAGGCTTTGACGCGGATCTTGAGCTCGCCGTCCTGAGGCTCGGGCATGGCCTTTCGGGTGACCCGCAGTTTGTTGAGCCCCCCGAAGCCGGCCAGCACCACGGCGCGCATCTCCTGGGCGTCCCCGAGGCGATGCGCGCCGCCGCCTTCCGCCGGCTCCTTGCCTGCCTCCTTCTCGATCATTTGCTCCGTCTCCTCCGCCTTCTCCACGCCTTCCTTGGCCATGGCGCGCGGGAGCGCGGGGCGCACGGGCTGCGGCGGCGGCTGCGGCGCGGGGGGTTCGAGGATGCTCTCCCGCCGGTTCCTCCTGTTGAATGCGGGATGCACGGCTGTGCAATGGCTGCAGCAGAGGCGAGCGGCGCCGTGGGCCACAGCCTCCGCCGTAATCCTCCTAGGAGCAGCGCACGCTCACCCCCGCTCCCCACCTCTCCTCCCGGACCAGCGAAGCCCCAACTCCACTTCCCGGGAGTAGTTTGAATCAGGCTTTGGATCGCACCCCTACACCACGGTTTGCTGAAGACTCTTGAGTAAAGCTCGCCGAGAAACCCTCTGCCCTCCCCTTTGCTCGCAGTATTTGGTTATTTACGGCGATGGTTCCAGCGCCTTGAAATGGACAGAGATGAATGTCTGGGCCAGAGGGTGCCTGCAAGACAAGGTTGCCTCTTCTCCCGTCGATGTGCGGGGGCAGGCGGGAGAGCCGGGAAATTGGGCAGTTTCCCAAACCTCCACTTCTGGCTGGAAGAGGGAAGCGGGAAACTAAGATATTTCACTGAGGGCGCCAAAAAGGGCTGGGATGAGTCCAATCCCGGGGTCCGTTCACTTTGGACCTTAAGTGTCCGGATGCTCTTTAAGGGACCGTCGCCAGGGGCGTACTTGGATGGCGAATTCTCCCCAGCTTCACTACTGCTGGCCTTTTAAAAAATCAAGACTTTTCATTTTAATCTCCAGACCACAAAATGCGCACAGTCACAAAAATGCGCGCGTGCGCGCGCACACAAATGCACAATGTGGGTAAACAGTCTTTCTTTTGTTGTTGTCAGTCTTCTAGGGTCTCACAGAAGAACTTGGAGTTTTTCAGAAATAGAGAGCCGCCTTGCAGTAGTTTAAAGACAGAGATGTCACTGAGGAGTGGGGGAGGGGAGGGGTATATTCTAGCTGTTGTCCAGTCATGCATGAAAGTTACTGAATATATAATAACGAATCCAGCATGAATTATATTCACCTTTATGTACCGCTGTGAACCAATTCTAGCGCATAGCGACCCTATAGGACAGAGAAGAGCTGGGCCTTTCAGACCGTCCCTGGAAGTGCGGAGCCCTGGCATTTCCAGAGATCATTGTTCTTAGGGTCCTAGAAGCTCAGGAACAAATGCAGTGGTCTCAGTAGGAAGCCATTAACCTGAATGGTAAGTTCCAAGGGAGGATGGATTTGCAGCCTGGCTTCTTCAATATATGCTATTGTTTGAGAGAAGCTTGTGGTTCTCCACAGGAACCCAGATAGTGCAGTGATCAAGCGTTTGGCTACTAACTGAAAACTTAGTGGTTGAAATCCACCGGCCATTCTTAGAGAAAAAGATACGGCAGGCTGCTTCCATAAAGATCACAACCTCAGGGACAGCCCTGGGGTCCGTTCAGTTTTATCCTGGGGTGGGGTGGGGGAGGTAATCTGGTGGCCATGGAATGATGCTTGGCAAGTGCATAAATGCTTGCTGTTTATCAAAAGGTCAGCTGTTTGAATTCACGGTTTGTTTTGACTCACAGCAGCTGATAGGGCAAAGCAGACACCGCTTCTTAGGATTTCCCAGGTTGTTGGGAGCTCTGGTGGCCTAGTGCCAAGAAGCTGGGGTGCAATCCTGAAAGTACTCAGTTCAAGAACACCAGCTGCTCCACGAAAAAAAAAAAGGGCTATCTCCTCCCTTGCGATTTTTCTGGAGGCTGTAAATTGCACAGGAGGAGATTGCCCATCTTTTTCCCCCAGAGCTGCTGGAGGATTCGAACCATCAGAGGGGTGCCACCTTTAGGTTAAACAAGTCCCTACAGATCACATCACCAAAGATTACAGACTTGGACATGCTGTGGGGAAGTTCTTTGTCCTGTGGGGTTGCTGTAGGCCAAAACCAACTCAACAGCAATGGATTCGGGGTCTTTCTCCTCCCCTTAGGGATTCTTTGTAACTTGATTCTTAGAATAACCTTATGAGGCAAGAATTATTACACTCACTTTACTGAAGAGACAGTAAAGTCTCATCGCGGTGAATGAATATGCTGGAAGGCATGCAATCGTGAAATACAAAACTGACCCCAAACCTGTGCTTTTAAGAACCGATCAGGGAGCGCTGGTGGCCTAGTGGGTAAGGAATTGCACTGCCAACTCAAAGGCAGGAGGTTCAAATACACCAAGCTCCTCCTGTGAAAGATAAGCATTCTCTTTTCCACTCACGATTTACAGTTTCTGAAGGGCAGCAGGAGCGTCAGCTGTGGGTCAGTTCAGACTCAACAGAAATGAGTTTCAGTTAATACACCCAGCAGGTGTGTTTATTTGGGTGGGCCAAACTAGTTTATTGATGCCCTTATTGATAATACCCTGGCCTTCCAAAAATCTCTGTTCCACCAAGAGATGTTGCCTTGGTTCCAAGGGTGGCCCTGTAGCATCTATCTCTAAGAGAAATCTATCTTCCATCCAAAAACAGCATTTTTAAAAGAAAATTTGCCTTCTCACTGAGGCAATCTCTGGCTGTTTAAAAGCCCCAGCTCATAATTGGTTCACAGCTGCTTGTCATAACTCAGAGGAAACACACTGCAGTCTGTGTTGTTTGGGGAGCATATCCTCCCCTGAATCCTCTGTACCACTGTTTGGACTGAGAATTCCCAACTCTGCTTCCCTCTAGGGGAATATGGCAAGAGGCAGATTGCAAGGCATCTCTCCAAATAAACACTATAAATCTATTTTTAATTTATAAAACTGAGCCATTGGCCACTTTCTCACTTCGAATTACTGCTTTGAAATACTTTATATTATAGGGCATTTGTCCACAGTGGCCACTGGTGGTGAAATATAATTCTACCCGTCTGCTTTATTTTCTGTATAAATTCAGTCCCACTGAATCAGCAAAAGAAAGGAAGACTCCTTCAAAGAGTTGGATTGATGCACAGCAACTGTAGTAATGGCCTTGAGTGTGGTAAGGACAGTGCAGGGCGGGTCTGATCTGTTTGTTCATAGGGTCACTATGAGTCAAAGACGACTTGGTGGCACCTAACAACATTAATTGAGTCCTGTCCAACTTAGGATGCTCATTATGTTTCTGAGGCTGTAAACCGTAACATGAGCAGAATACACATCTTCCATCGAGCAGCTGATGGATACAAGCCACACTCTTTGGTTGGCAGTCCAATATATATTGCATTACATACCACCAGATCCTTGTACGTCATGCCCCAAACCAACCCCACTGCTGTCAACTGAATTCTGACTCAGAGTAACCCTCCACTGAGTTTCTAAAACTATAAAGCTTATGAAGAGCAAACTGTCTCATTCTTCCTCCAGTGCTGCAGCTGGGGGTTTCAAATTACTGACCTTTCTATTAGAAGTCTAATCAATACACAGTGCACGATGCCACTAGGATCTAAGAAAGGGCATATGTGTGCAAAAGGAGTAAAGAGGATCAAAGTAGTGTACTTTTCAAGGTACTGGCTGGCTAAGGAGAGTGTCATATAACAGAGGTCAATTCTTTGAGTAAGAAAATATCTTAAAAGAATTTTAGGAATGATTTTCAAGATAACTTGTAATGACTCAGCCATATTACATACCCATTAATATTTCTTCTATTTTATGTTCTCCAGTATAATTAGTAGAATTTGCTAAATAATATCTATTACTTTCCAGTGTCATAAATACTAGTACAACATTGAAGAAGAAACTCAAAAGAGAAAGTATAACTTTCTCAAGGTCACATCTTATTGGGAGACAGGTTTGAAGTGGAATACATCCAAATCCAGAATGTTGCTTGTTGATTATTAGGCTATTATGTCTGTGGTTTTTGCATGCTGCTATATCTGTCACTGATAAAAAAAAAAAGAAAAGTAATAGAACAGGTCAAGAGGAAGTAGATAAATATAGAAGGTCAATAATGAAGAGATACAGTCAATTTTAACCAATGAAGGATCTTATTAAAATCCAAGGACTCTATTAAAAGATGTGTGATAAAATTTCTTATAGTTTTTATTGGTAACATTTAAAAAATGATGCAATAAGGTGGCCTTAAGTGCAGGATTCTTTTTTTTTTTATTATTGTAGAGAGAAAGAGAGAGATGGAGAGAGAGACCAAAATATTTGCAATTTCAGCATCTTTACCTGTACAATTCCGTGATTGGAACCTTGATAATACAGGAGGTAAGCACTTGATAGATAACCAAAATGGTTCACCAAATGATAACCAAAGTGGTTCAGACTCATCATTTGTTCCACTCAAGAAAGAAAAATGTGGAATTCTACTTCCATAAAGATAGGCAATTTTGGAAACCATGTATTGTTGTTGCTATGTGCCATTGAGTTAACTATGACTCATAGCAGGCCTATGCTGAACCCTGCTCTAACCTGAGCCAGTTTCACTCTCTCTGACACACCTCCCCTCATTACCCCAGTTATTGTGTTAATCCATCTCATCTGGGGTCTTCCTCTCCTGTGCTGCCCCTCAACCCTCCCAAGCGTGATATCCTTTTCCAAAGACTGGTCCCTCCTGGTTACATGCCCAAAGTATGGGAGATGGAGTCCCAAAATCTTTGCCTCCAAGGAGCAGATCAGCTGGATTTCACCCTCTCCAGGACAGTCCTGTTAGTTTTCTTGGCAATCCATGGTATGTTCAATACTCTTCTCCAGCCCAGAACACAAAGGCATCCATTCTTCTTCCATCATCCATGGTCATCGTCCAACTCTCTGATGCATAGCAAGTAATTGCAAAGGCATGACCTGGAAACCATATGAGGATGTTCTAATCTGTCTTATCACATTGCTATGAGTTGGAATTGACCAAATGGCAATGGTTTCATTTGGTTTGGGCAACTCAATGACATTAGTTATATTCATCCTTTTGTACAACCATCAACATGACAGTGCTACCCTTTCTTGAAATACTAGAAAGGTGTATAGCCCATCCAGAAGGTGGCAGAATACACTTCTTATCTATATCTCTTAGGACTAGTCTCATGTGCTTAACTCTAGTGCCCGGGCATTGGGGTGCGGGTGAGTTAATACTTACAATCACTTCTTGAATGCTGTCTATGGGTTTTGCTTAGTAGTAGACATATTCCCAGCA